GACCATACGACAATTTTCACTGTTCACAAGGCTTCCGCTAAAGTAATTACCCTTGCCCGTCGGTCAGCTGGGAATTCGACCATCTTCGACGTCTGTGATTAAAAGATATCGTTTCGACAATTTTCAACTGCGAAATCGTCAGGAAAGATAAACGGTCTGATTGCCTCGACAACCTCAAGCCACCTCGCCAAATTCAAGCCATCGATAGCCGTTTGATTTGAAGGCTTTGTCAGATTACCAGTCACAATCTTCGCCACCGACAATGCTGACTCGTAATTATCGCTCAACGGTCAAGACCGTTCTCGGCCAATCCGAGTCGTCGGATACTGGCTCGCCCAAGACCTCGTCAGGACGGCGTAATTATTACGCTCGTCACTGTGCTGAAGACCTACAGTCTCATCACGGAATATTTTTAATGACAGTTCTATCAGAATGAATAATGAATAGAATGGGGAGATATAAGGCAATATAGACTAGTGAGCTGTACCCACTAAGGCACAAACATATATAGTCGACAGGAACTGCATAAGTTATGTTTGACACACCCCCTAGACTATATAGGGGCAGTGCCTAATAAGGGAAGAAGCAGCTCACGGCGGCACTACTAGTCCAGCCTCTTAGACAAGGGTATAAAGACTAGTCACTAGGAGTACAGACAAGGCAAGAGCAAGACCAGGGCAGCACTACTAGTCCAGCCACTGGGAGAGGTCACAAGGCCAGTCAACGTAACATATATATACATAAAGGACAGTGAGAGGTTACAGGAACAAGACCTAGCTGTGCACAGTGCCGCTGATGATCTTTAGGTGCAAGCGCCTTCGTAAAGATTCCAGCTGTGTTGGCACCGGAGGCCAAGTGTACTACGCGCGCCTGGCGACGCTGCTGTAGGTCACGCAGGAGGAAGTACCACAGCTGGATGTGCTTCGCTCTGCCCTCGAGTCGAGGCTCCTGACACAGGAGGATCATGGCCCTGTTGTCAGCGTACAGGACGGGGGCAGAGCTAGGCCGATCACCTAAGTCAGTGAGCAAGAAGGTCAGCCAGCGGAGCTCCTGTGCCGCCATGGCACCAGCGTAGATCTCTGCCTTACAGCTGGACTGGGCAACAGACGAGGAGCGGGTAGCTCTCCATGAGACGACACCTGAAACAAGGCTGAAGCAGTAGCCCTGCGAGGACCTAAGGGTCTCGGCGTCGTCTGCCCAAGAAGCGTCTGTGTGTCTAGTAAGGACCACTGGCCTGCGTCCTCCTAGCACTAACCCCATGCCCGATGTACTTGCAAGATAACGCAAAACCCTCTTAGCTGCAGACAAGTGCTGAGGTTGGTGTCTGCCTGTCGCCACAAAGCGAGCCAGGATACTGAGAGGGTATGCAACATCTGGGCGAGTGGAAGTCATCAGGTACATGAGGCAACCCACCAGCTCTGCGTAAGGACCACTGGGCTCTGCCGACTCCTCAGGAACTGGAGCGGAGAGCCTCTAGTCTAGAGGCAGAGGAGTGGGCTGTGCGGAGGAGAACTGAAGGCCGAACCTCTGAAGGACCTGGCGCACCAAGTGTGACTGAGTCAGGGTGATGGTGCGCGCGGCTCTGTCTCTGGAGATCTGCAAGCCAAGGTAGTGGCGCAGTTCTCCAAGGTCAGTGCAGATGTGTCTCTTCAGCAGCTCTGCCTTCATGGAGGCCAGTGCGTCACTATCTGCCGTGGCAAAGACCAGGTCCTCAACGTAAACAAGGATGTAGAACGGGGTCTGGCCACCATGAACGAAGAGTGAGGGGTCTGCAGAGGACGGAAAGAATTGCAGGTCAGCAAGCGTAGCACGCAGCGTGTCGTGCCACTCACGAGGAGCCTGCCGCAGGCCGTAGATGGGGCGCCGCAGGAGCCACTGGGTCCCAGGGGGGAAGGTACCAGTGAAGCCCTGAGGGCGGCACAGGTAGACCTGCTCGTGTAGACTGCCCTGAAGAAACGCAGTGGAGAAGTCGAGGGAGTGTAACTCGTAGTCACGCTGAGCTGCTACGTGTAGCAGCACCCGACGAGTAGTCATCTTCGGGGTCAGAGCGAAGGTTTGGAAGAAGTCCACCCCCTCACGCTGACTGAAACTTGTAGCCACGTAGCGCGCCTTGAAGACAGACGGCTCTCCAGGAGGGCGCTTCACCTTGAAGAGCCAGTGGCCATCGATTACGTTCACCCCAGGTGGGGGAACTGCGTCGACGTAGGTACCGGTGGATCTCCAAGATGCCATCTCCTGCTCCATGGCAGCTATCCACTGCGAGGCCCAGGGTCCCGAGACCGCCTCAGCGTAAGTGCGAGGGGTCGGGATGTCGAAAACGTCGGGGTCACCCTCAAGGGCTAGAAGCATAGAGCAGAGGTGAGGAGCAGCCTCGGACAGGAAAGCAAGCTCGTACTAGCGGTCCTCCAGGACGTCACTGCTGAGGGCAGGAGCACCCCCGGCAGACGGAGGACAGGCAGGGTCAGAGACCAGAACGGTGGCGTAGTCAAGGCGGCGGGTAGAGGCAAAGTCAGCGACCGAGCAACAAGTTTGTCAAGACTCAAAACTAGAACAGACGGGTCGGTAACGAGAGAGGCAAGGACCCGAGGAACAAGAGGACGAGCAGCACGCAGGTAGCCAGATAGAGGGTTGGGAGTAACGACAAGGGAGGATGCAGGGGGCGACGGGAGAGGGGAGGACGAGACGCGTGGGAACGAAGCAACATAGGGTGAGAGCGCGAGACAAGGGAGACATGTCGAGCACGGGAGGGACGACGAGACCAGACTTGAGACGAAGGAGTCGGGTCAGGAGACCGAGGAGGGGACACAAGAGGGGAACGAGGGGGGAAACGGGCCGGAGACGAGTTCGGAGAAGGGAACACAGGGCCGTAGACAGGAGGAGGAGGAGGCACCGGCACGGGGTCAGGGGACGGAAGGCCAACGTGCCTGATGTTCTTATCCCGTGGGTTGTCGCTGCGCGTGTCCGCCGCGGTCTCCCTGTCTTGCGCCTCCACTCCGACCGTGGTGGCGAGTTTGCCTCTGGTGTCCTTGGTCGTTTCTGTCGTGCGGAGAGCATCACCCAGACGTTCACCTTGCCGGACTCCCCGCAGGAGAATGGGGTCGCTGAGCGACGCATCGGTTTGGTCATGGAGGTGGCTCGCACCTCCATGATCCATGCCGGTGCACCCCATTTTCTGTGGCCGTTCGCTGTTCGCTACGCCACTCACCAGCTTAACCTGTGGCCGCACCCCCAGCAGCCTCAGGTTTTGTCGACCCTTCTTTGGTCTGGGTCCCTTGATGATGCGTCTGTGTTTCACGTCTGGGGTTGCCTTGCTTACGTTCGTGCCTCTAGCACGGACAAGCTCACTGCCCACACCCTTCCCTGTGTCTTCCTCGGCTTCCCCCTTGACGCGTCTGACTAGCAATTCTACCACCCGCCCTCTTACCGGTTTTTTCACTCCCGCGACGTCACCTTTGACAAGTCCTTCTTCTTCCGCCGCTTCCCCCACCGCGGTTCCCCTGTTACCCCCCCCCCTGTTCCTGGTCACCTCTTCCCCGGTCGTCGCTAGGGGCGGGCACGACGGCCAGGGGGCCGGCTAGGGGCGGGCGCGACGGACAGGGGGCCAGCTAGGGGCGGGCAAGACGGCCAGGGGGCCGGCTAGGGGCGGACGCGACGGCCAGGGGGCCAGCTAGGGGTGGACGCGACGGCCAGGGGGCCAGCTAGGGGCGGGCGCGACAGCTAGTGGGCCGGCTAGGGGCGGACGCGACAGCCAGGCGGCCGGCTAGGGGCGGACGCGACGGCCAGGGGGGCGGCTAGGGGCGGACGCGACGGTCAGAGGGCCAGCTAGGGGCGGGCGCGACGGCCAGGGGGCCAGCTAGGGGCGGGCGCGACGGCCAGGGAGCCGGCTAGGGGCGGACGCGACGACCAGGGGGCCATCTAGGGGTGGGCGCGACGGCGGCTAGGGCCTAGGGGCGGAAGCGTGGGCGCACTAGGGGGGCGGGGACCTAACATACTATGATACCATATCAGAATGAATAATGACTAGAATGGGGAGATACAAAGCAATATAGACTAGTGAGCTGTACCCAGTAAGGCACAAACATATATATTGTACAGGAACTGCATAAGTTATGTTTGACAAGTTCGGCCTTCGTTAAACGGAGTGCACTTATATAGAAAGTGGGAGGATTTCACGAAGCCTTACCGGATTTCTCCACTGCGAGTACCGCGAACAGTTCGCACTCGCAGCCTCGGCCCTGAAGTCTCGCGTCAAACCACCCTCGCTGACCTATTCGGCCCCGAACGTGTTGCCGAGGCGCCTCGAACCCAATTTGACCCCGTCACCTTCGGGACTACGGAGCCGTTGACTGGTCCAACTCTCGAGGCTCAACCTGGTCAACTAGCACTATATAAGCCCTAGACCTCATTTGTTTTGACAGGATTTGTAGTCACACTCCCCTATAGTATTATGCGCTAAGAGTTATATTTCATAACATTTATAAGGAAAGAGACACCACTCCTAAATTTATGCAACCAGTTTTTTTGTCGGCTTGACGTATTCGCGCCGACCATCGAACTACTATCTCTGTTGTGGAGCGAGGTGCTGGCGAATCTAAGATTCCCATTTCACAAAGATGCCTTCAAGCCGAATCGCATGCCCGGTTACACAAAACAGACAATACTCCCCACGAAGGCATGGACGCTTCGTCAGAGTTCGTACACCACACCTTCAATGTCACGTGTGAGTACGACAACTTCGACCGAATGAAAGTGCTCGCAGCCAATCACATAACGTTTTCGGCTGCGTGCCTGCATCTGTCGTTAAGTTGCCAAAATTGTTTCGCAAAACCGGCGTTATCTAAACTTCCCCCTGGATCCAACCTCCCCTTTCTTCTTGGTTCCTCCTGCCGGGGCGCTGCCGCAACTCCGAAGCGCGCAATTCCAAATTGTGAAGCATAAATTTCTCCTTCTCTGCTTTCCACACTCAGAAATCCTCTCGGACCCCGGGGCGTACTCTAAACCCCCCGACATTCTCTAATCTTTTCTTCTCAGCCTTCGCCAGCAACACAATGGCTCATTCTTATGGAACTCTCGTGGTGACTCTGCTGATCGCATCTTTCGCGTCACACGCGCTCGCTGGCTTCATGGGCGGGGCTTCAACCTTCGCACCAGTAAGCTTTTCCTCACTCAACATATCGTGATTTTCCTCACATTTTCACCCCCCCTAGCACCATTCAGCGCCAAATTCCAGCGCGTTTCTCCGCACCGTCGAATGCCGCGCACCTACACCAACAGAGACCCGCCCGCAAACTCTCGACTCTCGCCATTCCCACGATTCCCCAAATTTCAGGCTGCGGGAGCGCTCATCAAGGCATGGAACAAGGCCAAGCCGGGCGTCGCGCAGGACGTCGTCGCCTACGACTCCGTGGGATCCGGCACGGGAATCACGGGCTTCAACAGCGGCACCTACCTCATCGCCGTCTCCGACGACCCCATGACCGCCGCGCAGGAGGGTGCCGGCTTCTCCGCCAGCCCCGGCAAGATCACCGTGCCGCTGTGCGTCTCCACCTTCAGCTTCTTCTACAACGGGAAGCCCGGCCTTGTGCTGACGGCCACCCAGACGTACCAGATCTACAGCGCCGCGATCTCCTCGTGGGGGGCCGTTCCCGGCGCAGTGGGCAAGGTTGCAGGCGCCATCACTCGCGTCGGTCGTACATCGCAAAGTTCCCCCCTTTTTTTTTGTGTGCTCGCGGGTTGTTGAGGCCACTTGTCAGGCAGCCAACCCCTCAGTTTCAATCGGAAAATTTCCACCCTGCAATTTGACGGCGATTCGCCTGCGCAATTTCGCAGGTGCATTACAGGCCGATTTCGGATAGTTTTCAACCCGTTATATCACAAAATGCATTATTGGACTTCAAATTCACTATTTTAGTCCTATGTGTATATACAAATTTATACAAAACTTGGTTGTGCTGTACTGTTAAACAATATACTTATTGTGCAAAAACACGTCTGGCTCATTCTTGTCAAACATCCTCACGATCTGGACGTGACGCAATATTGACGAAATCGGAACCACGCTATATGAAAGCTCTGGTGCTGGCCAGCTCAGCCTCACACACCCTGTGGCTGCATCCACGCCACGCGTCCTGTAGTACCGCACGTACGCAAGGTCATGCCGTACGCAGCGTCTCTTGCAGTGGAACAGGAGCAACACCTTGGCGTACTCCACCACATTACCAACGCACGATACTGCCACATTTGAGAACCATGGTCGCTTGTAGCAGTCAGGTGTAGCCCGGACAAAGTGGGCGAGCTTGGAGGAGTTAACTCCACCATCTGCAGGAAGTGCCATTGTCGGATGGGCCTGCGCAAGACGATGGATGAGTAAGGATAGGGTGGTCTAGGGTGTACATGACAACACATTTGGTGTTCATGACTCACCTGCACCTTCGTGGCGCTCACTCCATAGTCAATTAGCGCCATGTTGAAGTAGATGTGCGCCTCAGGTTGCTGCTTAGCCCACCCTGTGTTGAACTTGTTCATTTTTGTTGGCTCGGATGGAGGCGCGACAAGGACAGGATAGGAGTCCTTCGTGAGGACAGGCACTCCCTTGGTAATGGCCTGCATGTATAGCATATAGTTGTCAATAAAATAGTGAAACAACAGGGGGGAAACTTGGCACATGCGCTCATAAGAGTCATTTACCTGCTGCATTGCAGTGTTGCGTGCGTGTTCGGGCGTGTCAAGCGTGAGGTAGGCTGCCCTCTTCTCATGATGCTTCATTATCTGAGTCTCAACATTGCGCTTGTTGGATCGTCGGTAGATCCGTTTTAGCAACGGGCCATGCAGATGCTCAAACATGGCGGTTGCGAACTCTGATACATTACCTGCTCTCCTGATAGCTGCCGCATAGTGAGTCATCAGGTGCGTTTTGATTAAACACCAATCTGACTTTTGCTCTGGAAAAGCATCCTGCAGCTGCTTGACCAGCCTGTTGGGGTGGGTTTGTGTGGCATTTGATTTTTTTTGCAAAATACCTAGAGCGTGTATATAGAATTCTCACATGTGTAAATCTTGATAGCCACAAGTATTTATAAGATAATCAAGCTTTATGTTCAAGCATTTGTTCATTGCACTTAAAATTACCTATGCGTCAACTCCTCTAGAGTCGACAGGCTCCTCTCGGTGTGGCATGGCTGAGCGCAGAAGATGTACCACTCAAGGTACGCGCGGATCGCGCTCAGCCGCTTCTCCTCCAACGTGTCTGCCACGATGAAAAGTAGCACCTAGTTAGGTGGGGTTGGATTAGTATAGGTGCAGTTTTCTAGAAGGTACCTAAAGCACATATCTCTGAAGCATTCAATAGCTGTATTGACAAAACACGTACCATCAAGACAGCGCGGTGCTCGTGGGCGGCGACACATGCGCCAGACTCGAAATAGGCAGTCTCAGGGAAACGTAGGTTCGTCATTCGAGTCTCCTCACGGATCTGTGTGAGCCTCCTGCAGAAGGGAAGGGGTGTGTGGGTGGAGGGACAGCAAAATGGCAGAACCAGAGGTGAAAATAGGAAGGGGAGAATGGAGCAAGGGAGGGATCAATAGACGAGCACAGGGGGAGGGGGAATGCAGCAAAGGGAGGGGGAAACAGAGGTGCGAAATGGAAGTGGGTAGCAGCAAGCAAGGGGAGCCAGCCATTCGAGCTGTCGGGGGTAGCTGAGCAAGGGAGGGGAAACAGAGGTGCACAAGGGAAGGGGGTTGTGTAGCAAGGGAATGGTGTAGGTGAGGTGTGCAAGGGAAGCAGACAGGAGCAAGGGAGGAGAGCCAGAGGGGCAGGCTGGAAGGGAGAGGTGTGGAGCACAGGTGCAGTCTAGGGGAGGCCGATGCAGCAAGGTGAAGAGACGGAGTGATGCAGCAAGGTGAAGAGACGGAGTGATGCAGCAAGGTGAAGAGACGGAATGATGCAGCAAGGTGAAGAGACGGAGTGATGCAGGAAGGTGAAGAGACGGAGTGATGCAGCAAGGCGAAGAGACGGAGTGATGCAGCAAGGCGAAGAGACAGAGTGATGCAGCAAGGCGAAGAGATGGAGTGATGCAGCAAGGGGAAGAGACGGAGTGATGCAGCAAGGCGAAGAGATGGAGTGATGCAACAAGGCGAAGGGACGGAGTGATGCAGCAAGGGGAAGGGACGGAGTGATGCAGCAAGGTGAAGAGACGGAGTGATGCAGCAAGGTGAAGAGACGGAGTGATGCAGCAAGGTGAAGAGACGGAGTGATGCAGCGAGTGATGCAGCAAGGGGAAGAGACGGAGTGATGCAGCAAGGTGAAGGGACGGAGTGATGCAGGAAGGTGAAGAGACGGAGTGATGCAGCAAGGTGAAGAGACGGAGTGATGCAGCAAGGCGAAGAGACGGAGTGATGCAGCAAGGTGAAGAGACGGAGTGATGCAACAAGGTGAAGAGATGGAGTGATGCAGCAAGGCGAAGAGATGGAGTGATGCAGCAAGGCGAAGAGATGGAGTGATGCAGCAAGGCGAAGGGACGGAGTGATGCAGCAAGGGGAAGGGATGGAGTGATGCAGCAAGGTGAAAGGACGGAGTGATGCAGCAAGGTGAAGGGATGGAGTGATGCAGCAAGGTGAAGAGACGGAGTGATGCAGCAAGGTGAAGAGACGGAGTGATGCAGCAAGGTGAAGGGACAGAGTGATGCAGCAGGGTTTAGGGACGGAGTGATGCAGCAAGGTGAAAGGACGGAGTGATGCAGCAAGGTGAAGAGACGGAGTGATGCAGCAAGGTGAAGAGACGGAGTGATGCAGCAAGGTGAAGAGACGGAACAGAGGATGGATGGTGCATGGGCAAGGGAGGGATGGACGCGGACGGGGTTGGGATGGATGGAGGATGGGCAAAGGAGGGATGGATGCGGAAAGGCAAAAGGCATTCACAGTAGTGGTGGAGCAAGTGGCATGGTACGAGATATGAGTGTGACCCTTACTCGTCAAAGGTGGCGAGACTGCCTTTGTGGGAGGAGCAGATTGCGGAAATCATGTGGTGCAAGATCCCGAGGTCCGCCTGGTGCATTATGTCCGGCATGATGGCCAGGTAAGGGTTCGCCCAGGGCGCACCAGGCACATCCCACAGCCAGAGGGCGCACTGCATCAAAGTAGGGTAGCCGACAGGGTTCAACATACCAGATCAAAGTTTAATTAGGGAGGGTAACGGCTGTGGGGGCCAGAAAGGCGTTGCCGGGGGGCTTGGTGTCTAGCTCGGATAGGGTGATTGCAACCGGATGGGGACAGAAAGGTACCACAGCAAGCATCACGGAGATTAGGGGGGTGAAGAGGCACTAACCTCCATGCCGAACGTGGAGAACTGAACTCCAGCAGCTTTCTTGGTGCCCAGCTTGTTCGCCCAATTGTCAACAATCCACTGCTGTCGGGCCGGGGTCCGAGGAGTGTTCTCGGCCGTCACGCAGTCAAGGTGTTCCTGAGGCATGGTAGAGGTAACCGGGTAAGACGTAAGCGGGTAAGAGGTAACCAAGTTAGAGGTAACTGGGTTAGACGTACCCGGGTTATAGGTAACAGAGTAGGAGGTAACAGCGTCATAGGTAGCAGGGTGGGTGGTGACTGGGTAAGCGGTAACAAGGTTTGAGGTAGCAGGGAGAGAGATAAAAGGGTAAGAAGTAATAGGGTGAAGCGGTGCACACACCTTCTCGGCATAGCAGATGCTGCACGGTCGACTTGTGCCGCCGGAGAGGGTGCACGTGACTTTCCCGCTCTCTGGGTAGTCGCAGACCCACGCGTAGAGCATTGGCTTGACAAGGTGCTCCACGCCGTTCGGGTCTTTTAGCAAGAATCCGCTGGGGTGGCAAGTCAATTGGAGGAGGGGGCAGTGCAGAAACAGTGAGCTCAGCTAGAAGGTGCATGCACAAAACTAGGGGAAAGATGTGAGAGACGTTCAATCGAGAGATCCGAGGGTGGTGGGGGGGTGGGGGGCGCGGTGGGGGGGAGAAGGATTGCGTTAGGCAGCAGGATGGTCACAGCCACGCACTTCTTGCTAACGCTCTTACCACTCACGACCCTCCAAAATCGTATGCAGCATGGTGAGAGCCCCCTGCTGAAAGAGTTGAGTTTTCTGCGCCGAAGGCATCCCCTTGGGTGGGATTGGGAGATTGCCCAGCAGGCAGTGCCCCGACGTCGCCCAGCGCCCGCCCTGACGGATGTTGGCGATGGTCATCATCACGGGCCACGCCTTCTTGCGCCCATTCTCACTGAGATGGGTGACGTCACTGTAGAGAATGATGGCAGCAACTACCGCGCCATCGCCGACGTGGGCCTGCAAATAAGTTGTGGTAATAACAGACAGGGCGTTAGAGGAGCCGAGACTTACAGCGGCAAGGGGTGGGAAGGCAGAAGCGGCAGGGAACCTAGCCTCGGCCAATGCAATGTACCTGAGCACTGTGCCACCAGGTGCCTGTCTCTGGCGTGGTATAGCACCTCTGCCCAGTCGCCGGATCGGTGTCAATGCGCGGCTTGAGAACGAACCCAGGGGCGTTGTTCGGATGACCGAACAAGTCAGCGAGGGCCTAGCAGGGAGGGAAACAAAGGAGGCGGGTGGGGATGGGGGAGGGGGTGGAATAGGGTTAAGGGGGTAGGCGCAAAGAGGCGAGAGACTGGGGCGGGGTAGGTTGGGATGAGAGTCGCTTAGGTTAAACTAGAGGCAGAGTAGGAAAGGGAAATGGAGTCAATGACTGAAATAAAAAGTTGGCGCATGGGAAGGCGTATTCGAGCTGCCTGGGCAAAACCAGAGCCAGAGGTGGGTTATGAGGTCACCACTCTATGATGCACAATGTGAAACAGGGGTGCAGAAGGTTCACACCAGAAACTGGTTCGGAGGTTTCGTTTGGCAGCGGGAATATCGGAGCTGGGGCACATTGGGGCACAGGGACGCGGAAAGGGTTCGTTTCAACTTCTCTGAAGCATGGGAAGGGCGGGGCAGGGAGAGTTTGAAGACCAGAGAAACCATGTGAGCATTTAGGTTAAACAAACGGAGCATGGCATCATCGTGCTGCCATCCTAGTGTCAATAGGTTTACTGTGATGGAAAGCTGGAAATGAACTTGCCTGTGCCGGATCTCTGAAGAACAGGATCTGGGGCTTGAAGCCGTCGACGTTGAACGTGGCGACGCTCCAACCGCGGCCCAACCCCGACAGCTGCTCAAGCTCAAAGCGTTCGAGCTCCTTGCAGTTGGTGAACTCCGATAGGATAGCCTGCGCGAGCTCCGGATGCATGAGGAGTTGGAGTATCTTGTTGATATCCACCTCCGTCATCCCCATTTTTCCGTTTGCGAGGCGGACGAGGTGGATGAAGCGCAGCACGAGAGGATGTGTGTGCGGAGGCGGCGTAAAGTTCGGCGCGATAAGAATAGGAGGCGCTGGAGCGTGCGCCGGGTCGACATAGTTGCTGATGTCAGCAGATTGCGCGTCACCGAGCACATCCAGGTGAGGGAGAGGGTCTTCGTTCGAACCGTACGATGCATTGTCGGAGTTTACGGTGTCCGCCTCGCCCTCGGACGGCAATGGAAGCCCGGACGAACTCGCCAACGGGCTTGGAGGTGCGTCGATAGGAGCGGGCTGTGGTGCGTCCAACGTCATGAAAAGGTACTGAGACATGGAAGGGCTCTGCACAGCCCGCCCAGCAGCATGCTTACGGCGGCACGAGTTCGCAGTACCCTTGTGTTGACCAAAGGCCTGGGCGTTGCGAAAGTGCTTCTCACAGAAACCGCACGTTATCCATTCGTTGCTGGTCATTGCTGGTCGGCCTGAGAGGGAAGGGGAGTTCCGTTCGGACAAGTATAAGTCCTCTGTATTCACCACTGCTCTAAATACAACATGAAAGAGGCGAGGTGAAGCAGGCGAGGCAGGGGGTCGATCATCGTAACGCGGGAAAACGCAGTTGGCGCTGGCGCCTAAACTACTAGTTACTGCTGCACGACAGTTACGAACTTCGAGTTTCAAACATCACAAAGGGTTTCGATCGCGATCCAGATGCGCGGGGGCAACCCTAAGTGATACAAATGAGGAGTCAGTAGCTACGAGCACAATTCATGATAGGGATAGCAGTACATGTGGTCGCAAACGTTAAATACAGAAAACAAAACCATGCATGCGTGGTGCATTGTAGGTTTCCCACCAAACAACCATGCTTGGAGAATAAATAAAAAACGACACGACGGGTGATAGACGCATTCACCAACAAGGTTTAAAACACCACACATTGTAGTCCCAACAACACACAAGTACTACAAGCAAGAGCCCACCCCGCAAACCTTCGTGCTCAGTTGGGGCTCCAGATGTTGCCCCTCCTATTGGATTGGGAGGTCCATTGCAACACCACAATCGGTTCCCCCTCCTCTCAAAATGCAACCAAGTATGTCAGGGGTTGAAAATGAGTGTGAATTCAAAAAAAAAAAAAAAAAAAAGCTGATTCCGCCCCCTACAGCCCCCCCCCCCCCGCATGCCTCCGTGCTCCTCTGGGGCTGGGATCAGGGTGGGGCTGGGATCAGGGTGGGGCTGGGATCAGGGTGGAAAGTCCATGTAGACACCATAACCGGTTTTCCCATGTTAGAAAAGGGAACCAAATACGGCAGGGGTTGGAACTGGGTGCGAATTCACACAAAAACTTTCAAAAACAAGCAAATTCCGCCCCCTACAAGCCCCCCCTCATGCCTCCGTGCTCCTCTGGGGCTGGGATCAGGGTGGAAAGTCGATGTAGACACCATAACCAGTTTCCCCATGTTAGAAAAGGGAACCAAATACGACAGGGGTTGGAACTGGGTGCGAATTCACACAAATACTTTCAAAAACAAGCAAATTCCGCCCCCTACAAGCCCCCCCTCATGCCTCCGTGCTCCTCTGGGGCTGGGATCAGGGTGGAAGGTCCATGTTGACACCATAACCAGTTTCCCCACGTTAGAAAAGGGAACCAAATACGGCAGGGGTTGGAACTGGGTGCGAATTCACACAAAAACTTTCAAAAACAAGCAAATTCCGCCCCCTACAAGCCCCCCCGCATGCCTCCGTGCTCCTCTGGGGCTGGGATCAGGGTGGAAGGTCCATGTAGACACCATAACCAGTTTCCCCATGTTAGAAAAGGGAACCAAATACGACAGGGGTTGGAACTGGGTGCGAATTCACACAAATACTTTCAAAAACAAGCAAATTCCGCCCCCTACAAGCCCCCCCTCATGCCTCCGTGCTCCTCTGGGGCTGGGATCAGGGTGGAAGGTCCATGTTGACACCATAACCAGTTTCCCCACGTTAGAAAAGGGAACCAAATACGGCAGGGGTTGGAACTGGGTGCGAATTCACACAAAAACTTTCAAAAACAAGCAAATTCCGCCCCCTACAAGCCCCCCCTCATGCCTCCGTGCTCCTATGGGGCTGGGATCAGGGTGGAAAGTCCATGTTGACACCATAACCGGTTTCCCCACGTTAGAAAAGGGAACCAAATACGGCAGGGGTTGGAACTGGGTGCGAATTCACACAAAAACTTTCAAAAACAAGCAAATTCCGCCCCCTACAAGCCCCCCCGCATGCCTCCGTGCTCCTCTGGGGCTGGGATCAGGGTGGAAGGTCCATGTAGACACCATAACCAGTTTTCCCATGTTAGAAAAGGGAACCAAATAGGACAGGGGTTGGAACTGGGTGCGAACTCACACAAAAACTTTCAAAAACAAGCAAATTCCGCCCCCTACAAGCCCCCCCTCATGCCTCCGTGCTCCTCTGGGGCTGGGATCAGGGTGGAAAGTCCATGTTGACACCATAACCGGTTTCCCCACGTTAGAAAAGGGAACCAAATACGGCAGGGGTTGGAACTGGGTGCGAATTCACACAAAAACTTTCAAAAACAAGCAAATTCCGCCCCCTACAAGCCCCCCCGCATGCCTCCGTGCTCCTCTGGGGCTGGGATCAGGGTGGAAGGTCCATGTAGACACCATAACCAGTTTCCCCATGTTAGAAAAGGGAACCAAATAGGACAGGGGTTGGAACTGGGTGCGAACTCACACAAAAACTTTCAAAAACAAGCAAATTCCGCCCCCTACAAGCCCCCCCTCATGCCTCCGTGCTCCTCTGGGGCTGGGATCAGGGTGGAAAGTCCATGTTGACACCATAACCGGTTTCCCCACGTTAGAAAAGGGAACCAAATACGGCAGGGGTTGGAACTGGGTGCGAATTCACACAAAAACTTTCAAAAACAAGCAAATTCCGCCCCCTACAAGCCCCCCCGCATGCCTCCGTGCTCCTCTGGGGCTGGGATCAGGGTGGAAGGTCCATGTAGACACCATAACCAGTTTCCCCATGTTAGAAAAGGGAACCAAATAGGACAGGGGTTGGAACTGGGTGCGAACTCACACAAAAACTTTCAAAAACAAGCAAATTCCGCCCCCTACAAGCCCCCCCTCATGCCTCCGTGCTCCTCTGGGGCTGGGATCAGGGTGGAAAGTCCATGTTGACACCATAACCGGTTTCCCCACGTTAGAAAAGGGAACCAAATACGGCAGGGGTTGGAACTGGGTGCGAATTCACACAAAAACTTTCAAAAACAAGCAAATTCCGCCCCCTACAAGCCCCCCCGCATGCCTCCGTGCTCCTCTGGGGCTGGGATCAGGGTGGAAGGTCCATGTAGACACCATAACCAGTTTCCCCATGTTAGAAAAGGGAACCAAATAGGACAGGGGTTGGAACTGGGTGCGAACTCACACAAAAACTTTCAAAAACAAGCAACCAAAGCCCCCCCGGCATACCTCCGTGCTCGGTTGGGGCCAAAGGTTGGGTGATAGGTCCATGGCAACACCAAATCTACTTTCCCTATGTTAAAAGACGGTGGTTTATATGGGAGGGATTGAAAAAGAGTGCGAATTCAACCTGAAACAAACAAATTCAGCACTAGACAGCCTCTCCCGCATATCTCTGTGCAGCTGTGGGGCTGGGAATTGGGAGGAAGGTCCGTGGCAACTCTACGCCCAACTGCCCCCGGAAAAGAGCGGAACGAATCACGCAATGACTAAAAAACGAGAGCAGATTAACCTTTAAAACACTCAACACCTGCACCTTAACGTCACCCCAACATACCACCGTCCTCTGTTGGGGCTGGGATTTGGGTGGGAGGTCCATGGCGAGTCCACCCTCGTGTTCCGCACTCCAAGAGACGAACCCCAAATCGACACACCCTGAATCTGAGAGGAAAAGCAGAAAGAGACACAAACCAAAACATGCGAAGACAACAAATCACAAACAAATGTGATCCAACTATGGTAAAATTGGCCAGGGAGGATCCTGGGGAGTCCAACCCTATGATTCCCACGCCACATAACGGAACCAGAAATGGCTCACCTTGAATCTGAGCTAAGAACAACATGGGACACAAAACAAAGCATGCAATGTCAAAAAATCACAACCAAACGTTAACCAAACATATTAGAAGTTTGCTGGGAGGTCCATTACCATAATGGTCATAGGTCACTGGCACAAAAAGAAGGTGGTGCAAAAGTTGGTTTTTGAACCAAGTAGTCTTGGTTCATTAAGGTGGCACTAGGATAGCATACTGGGCCACCCCTGTATCCCAGCTAGTCCCATCACCTGAAAAAGACCCAAAGCCGTCGAATGTGACAAAAGGGAGGGAGGCATGTTAAAAGCACCTAATTCCGATATAAAACGTAATTCAAAACGCGCATTCCACAAAGTCGTACGCAACAACTAACCATTTTCAGGTCACCATTGCATCTCTGGGACTAGGATGCGCATAAAATACAACCACCTCAACCAACTTACAGGTTAGTTCTACGATGCGAACCAGGTACTTGTCTATCCTACCTAGATCCGGGTTTAGGCACTAAAACTATATAGAATGTTTGGAATGCATGTAGAAGGTTTGGAATGTTACGAAGCAACACACTGTTTTGTTGGGTTCAGCAGCCCAACAGCAGCCCATGGAAAGTTGGGTGCACTAGCAAACACTGCCAGCGCCCCAACCGAGCAGCAACACCTTCCAGCAGTACAGCTGGCGTGTATGTTGTAAAATCTACCCGCTGGCGACCGCTGACTGGTTCTAAATTACTTACGAGCACCGCCTTACCTTATCTTCGTTGTGCGATGCGCAGCACAGAGACCTCACCAGGTTGCCGACCAATTGGGCCGGATGGTTGGCCAATAGTGTCGCGTTTTGGTCTCCGCGCGGTCTCCAAATCTCGCGCAAATCCCACCGTCGCTGTAACCAGCACTACCAACGACAGGCTGGGTAAACACCCGCAAAGCTCCCTCGAAACCCAGTAGTTACGATGTCGCACTTCTGTAATGAAATCAGTGACTTTAGGACAAGAACGCGCGGGGAGGTGGGGCTTTTGGCGTTTTTTTTGTGTGTTTAAGTGCCGTTTCGCATTTCTTGCTGGTTTTGGGTAGGCACGAATTACCATTTCGCCCTGCCCCCCTAAATCTCCCTTGTTGCGCGTGTTCACCCCTTCTCGCCGGCCCCCCCCCCCTCCCAGCAGATCAATAGCGCCCATGTCGCGTCGCAAATTCCCCTCTTGTTCCACCAATTGCGCACCCACGTCCCCCCTCCCTGCCCGTCGCAGAAGGGCACCCTCATCCCGCCCTCGGCCAGTCGTACTTGCGCTCATCCACGTCCCGCCTTCCTAGCACACCACGGCTCTTCTTTCTCCCTCCCTTCATCCTCGCGCCCACGTTCCACACCCCCACGGCATCGTCCTTCCCCCTCCCTTTCATCCTTGCGCCCGCATCCACCTCTCCCCCTCACGCCATTGTCCATCCCTCTCCTCGTTTTTTGCCAACCCCCTTTTTCAGAAATGCTCTTGTTGCTGTCTCTAGCATCAACTCTCCCTGGAAAGCTCTCGTCCTAGGGGTCTAGCAGGCCGCATATCAGAGCAGTCCAGCCCATGACGGAGCTCAGGAGAGCGATCCTTCCTTTTCGAGCTGCCAACCCTCTTCCTTCCCACGGTTCTCACAGACCTCGTAGTTCCCCCCGCTATAGCTGGCCGCGTAACTTGGCAGTCCAGCCCATGATTCCCTTTCGAGCCGCCATCCCCCACCGTCCAAATCGCACGGTCCCTTCAGGCCTCGATACAACGGGGCACCTTTAGTGGGGTCCCACCATGTTCATTACTCCACCGCGTCGGCCACCTTAGTCGCGATCACACGGCGTCACCGTTTAGTGGCGCGCCGACGTGGCGGGGTGAGCATGGTCGTGCTATCGCGTCGGCAGAGATCCGACGTGATGCCAACGTGACCGCGTGTTGTTTGCAGCTGAGAGGCCTTGGCGTCGTCTCCGTTGGGGCTGTCGAGCTGGGTTGCCCGTCGCTCTAAGGATCCTCCGAGATGTTGCTATAAAAGCAGGGCTCGTAATATCCTTGTACACATGTCATACCAGCGGCCTTAGCGTGGTCCAGTCACATACCTCTTTACTCCGATCCACCAACAGCCATGTCTCAGCCAGCTCTCTCCGACTCTAGGGTACCCGGTGGCAGTGGAACAACCAAGCGCAAAGTGAAGACGGGACGCAAGCGGGCGTCCCCCAAGAAACCTCGCCAGGATGCCCCGGGTACGGGTGAGGACTGTTTTGCCCAGGACATTCTAGGTGAGGACCTCACAGGGTCGGAAGGCAATGACTCCGCCGGTTTAGAATGGCAAGGCGCGACGACTGCCGTCGGCGAACTCGGCACTGGAGATGCGGGGCCAGCCGATCATGCACCAGAGCATGTGGAGGACAACCTCGGTGGTGAGGAGGCGTTCGAAGAATTGGCAGAGGCGGCCGAGGCTGACGAGGCGAAGGCCGACGATGAAGTGGCAGGAGCTGGGGAGGCGGGAGAGGAAGATGCATACGCGGAACATGATGGCGAAGAGCGGGTAGAGGAAGATGGTGCGGACGAGGATGCCGAGGAGGAGGAGGAGGAGGAAGAAGAGGAGGAGGAGGAAGAGGGGGATGGGGAGGAGGAGGAGGAAAGGGAGGAAGAGGAGGAAGATGAGGAAGAGGAGGAGGAGGAGGAGGAGGAGGAGGAGGAGGAGGAAGAAGAGGAGGAGGAGGAGGGGGATGAGGCGGAAGAAGAGGAGGGAGGGGAGGAGGCAGTCGGGGTGGAGGGCATGCAGGTGGTGGCGGCCAACGACGACTCGGATGCTAGTGCCCACTACCTGCGAAACATGCGGAGCGCACGAGCGCAGGCGCTGAGTAAGCAGTCTACATGGGACGAGGAGGAGGAGGCCGAGCGCATGCTGAGGAAGGGACGTTTTCTCCAGCTCGGCTCGCTGCACGGGGACCCGCCGGCCAACGAGGCTGCCAAGGCCGGCCAACCAAAGTCCGGCACCCGTGGAGGGGGGGGTAATTGGCGTGCAGGAACCTCTCGGGCGGCGGGGACGGGCAACGGGAGGGCGGCTGGAGTTGGTAGTGCACGGAATGCACGGCCCAAGGCGGTGGGCCGGAGGCCTTTCGCCGAAGCAGCGAAACCGGCCAAGGGAGCAGACAAGGGCAACAAGGCGGGTGAGTGTTTTACGTTTTCTACTCCCTCGGCTTTGTTTACTGTTTTGTCGAGTACCTTTGCCCAAAACCTAAGGCTTGTGCTCCCCCTTATGCCATGTTGCCCCTCTGCACCCTAGCAGCTGTGGCGGATGCCAAGGCTTCTGCAAAAACGCAGAAGCCCAAAAGAGGTCTGTACTAGTTTAGAGGGTTGTCGCTCCACAGCATTGCATCACTAAAATGACCTCGCCTCCTTCCCCTTCCCCCCCGACGCCCCCCATCCATCTCGTCTAACACTAACCCCCCTTGCTCCATACCCTACACTCTCAAAAGGATACCCCCTCTACACCCTCCCCGCCCCGCCCCACCCCCCCCCCCCCCCCCCCCCCCCCCCCCCCCCCCCCCCCCCCCCCCCAACTCACCCCGCCTGCAGTTGTGTTGAACTCCGGAGTGGGCCCGCCGGACACAATTGAGCACATCCATCTCGCGCCCGGGGGTGGCATGAGGGGGGGTGTCATGAGGCGGGCTGCCACTGTGGGCAGCCCTGCGAACCCCGGCTCTGCGGTGTGGCGCATGACTACTTCTGGAGCAGGAGGTCAACGCACCCCTCCTCCGGGGGCCGGCTCTATGGCTGCGGGTGCGGCACGCGCTGCGTCAGCGGCAGCGGCGGTACTGGCAGCACGACCAGGGGGAGCGGCACGCACAGCGGTGGCGGCGGCGGCGGCGGGGACAGCACGCGCCCCATCAGCAGGAGCGGCACGTATGGCGGCAGCGTCGGCGGCTGATGGTCATGCGCGTTCGGTGTTGGCGGCGGCCCGGACGGCGGCAGCGGCAAGGAGTGGGGCTTCTCAGCAAGGTCCAAGCATGAGGCCCACTGCTACGCCGGCTGCACGGCCCGTCGTACAGGGCGCGGCACAAGCACCGAGGAGCATGACAGCAGTGGCGGCACTCGCGGGTCAGCAGCAATACGCTACGAGAGCCGAGCTCGCAGCGATGAGAGCGGAGATGCTTCTAGTCATTGAGCAGCACGGGGCTGCGTGGGGCACTGTTCCTGCCGGTCCAGTCACGGTCCATGAGCCCGCAGGGGGCCTGCAGGCAGGCGCGGCTCCAAGGCGCTCCCTGGTTAGGGGGGCGGAGCAGATTGCCCTGGAATCTGTCCTTATCGATGCAGGAGACTGGAAGGTATGTGTCCGCTGCACCGTCATAGCACTTCACTCCGCACACACCACCTCTCTCTCTTGCTCAATCCCGGTCTAAACCCTAGTGCCGCACCTCGCTTCACACTCTCCCATGTCTGACAATCTCCCTGTGCCCAACTTATCCTGTGCACGCTACTCGCGAGTTACTTCTTACCATCAGTATTTCATCTTCGTACAATCCTCCATCACTCCCACCAGCCCATCCCCTCATTGCCTGTTACCTCTTACCCTGATACATTTTCACATGTTACCTCTTATGTTGTTATTTTTTGCTCTGTTACCCTTTGCCCTGCTACCTCTTGCCCTGTTACCACACACCATGTTACCTCTTGCCCTGTTACCTCATTCCGTGTTACCTCTTACCATGTTACCCTAAACCCAGTTACTTCTTGCTCTGTTACCTCCTTCCTTGTTACCTCTGACCATGATACATCTTGCCCTGTGACCTCGTGCCCTGTGACCTCTTGCCCTGTGACCTCTTGCCCTGTGACCTCTTGCCCTGTGACCTCTTGCCCTGTGACCTCTTGCCCTGTGACCACTTGCCCGGTGACCTCTTGCCCTGTGACCTCTTGCCCTGTGACCTCTTGCCCTGTGACCTCTTGCCCTATGACCTCTTGCCCTGTGACCTCTTGCCCTGTGACCTCTTGCCCTGTGACCTCTTGCCCGGTGACCTCTTGCCCTGTGACCTCTTGCCCGGTGACCTCTTGCCCTGTGACCTCATACTCTAGTACCTCTTACCCTGTTACTTCGTGCCGTGTTACCTCTTGCCTAAACCTTGTTCCATCTTACCCATCATCCCGCCCCCTCTTTCCCTGTTGTCCTCCTTAATGTTCCACAGGTGAAGTGTCGCACTCTAGTTACCGAGTTCTACTGGCTGAAAGAAGCCTCAAAGATCCAGATGTACCCTGCGACCGTCGAAGTCATTGAAGGTTTCAGCACCTACCTGTCCCCTGACAGCATGCCCCATGTGCAATTGCTCTGGAACCATCAGTGCCCTACCACCAAAGGAGCCTTTCTCACTGCCTGTAGCAACACTCGTTGCTCCATAGGCAAGATCTTTCGTCGCATCGTTCTAACCGCATTGGGCAGTGAGAAGAAGAAGGACAAGGTTAGCCGTCTGCCCAGGGAGCTGGATCGTCCCACCGTCTACGTGAACGATGCAGAGCTTGTCCGCGACAACATGAACGGTGAGTTGCCAAGCAAGCATCCACATGGTAGTATTTGCAGGGCTAGTTCACTAATCACATCTCCTTTATCCAAATGGCTGTTTTGGAGACACAGATGATTGGGGCATGGATTGGCACATGGACAAGCCCACGGAGTGGCCCTTCTCCACCCACTTGTTTGCCATTGCCATGGCCAAGGCCTTCACACGGAGGGGGGTGGACATGGTTTCCTGGAAGTCCCGCATGGTGGCGTTCGCCTTGTTCTCGGTGAGCTGGTCTTTGTGATCCTCAGGTTGCTTATTGTAGTGCGGCCGCTAGCTATTAGAGGCACCCATCCTTATCCCTTGTACCGTTCGTGCTCTCTTTTCTGTATCCTCACATCCCATGTCCACAATGTTCCTCATCTTCCATTCCCATCATCTCAGGGTTCCATGTGCTCTTACCTCGCTTTTCTACCAATCCCTTGTCTAATATCCCAAGTGCTCCCCCTCGTGTGCTGTTCAACAAGATGCTCTTGTCCCAAGTGCTCGTCTCGTCACCCTTTCCGTATTCTCACTCACCCCGCCCAAAACCCACCCTTTCTGTGTAGCTCGAGAACCCCCTCCTTGAGCAGGCCAACGACGGCAAGCTCGGCACCGACCAGAGCCAGAACCGCAAGAAGTACGAGGCGACCTGCGCCAGGGTGCGCGCTGGGTGGAGCACTCAGTGAACAACCTGGGGGTGCGCTACGACCCCACCACCAACGCCTACCAGTTCGGCTCCGGGGTGCTGATTGACGCTTCCGACTACCCCAGGCTCCCCAGGACTCAAGCCGGTGGAGAGTAAGTCAATGGTGCAGAGAGAGGAGTGGCAGTGGGGAAACGAGAAGCTGCGCGTGGAGCATCAGTGAGGGGCGGGAGGGGGGACCAGAAGCTGGAGGGGCAGAGGCGTACGAGGAAGTGGTAGGAGCTGAGGAGGCGGCACATGTAGCTGAGAAGAGCAGCAGCTTGGGGCACTGGGGGGGAAAGGATAGAGAGCCAGCCGAGGGGAGCAGCAGAGGGTGCAGTAAAGAGGAGCAGCAGCGCAGGGAGCAGCAGCAGAGGGGCGGCAACAGCAGATGAAACGGCAGCAGCAGATGGAGCGGCAGCAGCAGCGGCGCAGCAGCAAAGGGCGCAGCAGCAGAGGGCGCAGTGGCAGAGGGCGCAGCAGCAGAGGGCGCAGCAGCAGAGGGCGCAGTGGCAGAAGGCGCAGTGGCAGAGGGCGCAGTGGCAGGGGGCGCAGTGGCAGGGGGCGCAGTGGCAGGGGGCGCAGTGGCAGAGGGCGCAGTGGCAGAGGGCGCAGTGGCAGGGGGCGCAGTGGCAGAGGGCGCAGTGGCACAGGGAGCAGTGGCACAGGGCGCAGTGGCAAAGGGCGCAGTGGCAGAGGTGGCCGCAGTCCATGGGTAGAGTTGCAGAGAGCAGCAAATTTGAGGCAGCAGCCAAGGAGCTTCAGCAGCGAGAGTGCAGCATCAGGGGGAGTACCAACAGCAGAGGTAGAGCAGAAGCAGAGGGAGTACCAGCAGCAGAGGTAGAGCAGCAGCAGAGGGAGTACCAGCAGCAGAGGTAGAGCAGCAGTAGAGAGAGTACCAGCAGCAGAGGGAGTACCAGCAGCAGAGGTAGAGCAGCAGCAGAGGGAGTACCAGCAGCAGAGGGAGTATCAGCAGCAGAGGTAGAGAAGCAGCAGAGGGAGTATCAGCAGCAGAGGTAGAGAAGCAGCAGAGGGAGTACCAGAGGTACTACCAGCAGGGGTGGGTGCAGAGGCAGAGGGAGTACCAGCTGAGGGAGTGCAGCAGCAGAGGGAGTGGCTGCAGAGGGAGGGGGAAAAGTGAGCGAGTGAAGAGCCCGGATGAGCAGAAGACAGGGAAGCACTGGAGAGTAGGGTGCTGGTGTGGTCGGAGCAGCTGCTGGGTTATTGGTGCAGCAGAGCGTAAAGATGCTGAGACAGTTACGTTTCTATTAGGGATTTTTAGATGATATCATGCTGTAATTGTGCTTAAATAATGACTACTACGATTTCAGCTTAGGAGAAATAAAATAATAGTAAGACGTTATATAACAAAGTACAGGAAATGGTTGTACATTATTTCAATTAATGACCACCATTCCACGTGGTTGGATGCGCAAAGTGCGGGTGACAACAGTGCGAAATCGGGATGTAATACGCTTGAACTCCGCTGGAAATACGGCCCTGAAAACAGGCGCAGTTACGCCTGTTACGCATGAGAAGAACAGGCATGGCAGTGCCATGATTTCAGACGGAAATCGACCCCGGTTTGCAGTCCGTTTTCAGCCTGACGTCCAGAACACAGCCTGTACACAGGCTGATTTCCCGGCCTGTAGTTTGCGATGTAGCGACAAGTCCGGAACGACGCCATCGTG